GCAGGAATGGTAACTGTCTATGCCTACAAAAAGAGTGGAAATCATTTAATTTCTTAATTACGTCTAGATTTTAAAATACTGGACTATTTGAGCAAATAAACCATACTGGAGTACAGTTTTTAACCCTTTAGTTCATGGAGAGCTTGTTATTTTTTAATAAAATAAATTATATAAACATACATTAGCTTTCAAGGGGAAAAAATCCTATTACATATTAATATTATGCCTGTGTTTGATAATTGACAAGAATAAAACTTACTCTCAAGCACAAATGTAACACAGTGTCCTCTTTATAAATGCTTGACCAAGTATTCACAACTTCAGGAAGGAAAGACTTGATGATATAAAGATGTCCTGATTTCAAGATATCATATTCTGACCATGTGCATACTACTTTAAGGGCTCGACGTAAACCTCCTCCCATCTCCTCTTTACTTAAAAATTCAATTTTAGCACAGAGTCCCAGCTGTGACCAGGAAGACATGCTGTTGTTCAAGATGTTGGGAGAACTTTCTTCGAGGCGATACACAGTGACCGGTTCACCTAAATTACAATCAAAAAGCAATTACTGCATTTATTTTTCCAAGTTTAAAAATACAAGCAGTGAAAACATTCAATTCCTTAAATTTCAACACAAAGTGATATTAACTTGTTAATAATATTCTGAAACACTGTAAAATTTTAAACTAGCCAGTGGGAATATCCCTCTCTAACTTCTTTCATAGAGCAGCAAGGTAACACTGCATTTATACCCTCCTGATTAGAATTATTAATGACACTGTCTAAACAGTGTTAAGAACACCATTTATTTATTTATTTACATTTTATACGAGTCAAAACAAGTCTCTATTTAAGGACTACTTCCAGAAGAGTTTGTTATAGAAACTGTTTTTTTACTACAAGACCACTATCAGCATTCCTGAGGACAAACAGCCAACTGCCATTAAACACTGTGCTAGAAAAGGTGTCATTAGACTCATCTGAGTGCTGCAAGACAGATGCTAGATATTATTTTAGTCCATTATCTACATTTAAGACGCTATGAGAAAATGTCAGGTTTGATTTGATCATTCCATATTAGAAGTAAATCTATACTGGGTTTTCTTTTCTTCCCCCAAAGACTATATTGAACCAATTCTTTGCACTTTGACCCTCTGTCCATTAGAAAGAATTATGTTCTTACCTCTTGGAGGCACAGGAGTGAATGGGATGCTCTGTGATAACCTCATCAAGTTATTTCTTTCTACCGCTAGAGAAAAATTATAGCAGTTGTCAAACTTAAATAAATAAATAATGTAATTAAAATATGAACTGTTAGTACACGAGGCACTAACCTGAGTAATAGTAATTGATATCCATGATAGGCTTGAAAGGAGAAGCAATACCTGAAAGAGATCAAGAAATGAGAGAGATACTATCTGCTACCTATGTTGGATACTAAAAATCACTACATGTAAAATAAGTTTTCAAAGCAACTAGTAAGTCTGAAGAACATTTGATAGGCAGAGGGTTAAGTATTACATTTAGCTCTTTACTGAGAGCACGAAAAGGTGAAAAAACCTACAGGGCTCAATGGTAGGCTATTTATTAAAAGAAAAATCATAATCACAGTATTATCTGTACAGTAAGATCGAAATCAACAATAATTAAGTACATTCTCATACAAGACCCGAACTATTGCTTATATGAAAAGCTCCCAGTTTGTTTATATGAGAAAGAGTAAACTTACCATTCAAAGCATCTTCTTCAGATGGCCTGTGAAATGTTCCCCCCCACCAGAAAAAAGCAGTCATTAATTCTCAAAAAACTTGTTTGGTATTCACCGATTTTGCCACATTATTCTGGAGTCACCTTGTTAACTTTACAGTACTGTTTTACCCTATTTTTCAAGGGCAGTACAGGTTTCTTAATTACAGCAGAGTAAGGGAAGGCTGTTAAGTAGCCTCCTGTTTTTAGAGCTACACTTTAAATACCAGATCACGCACAACATTATGGTAAGCTTGCATCACAAGAGCTCTTTCCCACAGAGGTGCTTTAATTAAGACTTGTTCACAACAGCTTACCCTTCCCTTATCAGATTAATAAGGTAACAATTAACAAACAATTTAACAAACAATTAACTCGGCGGATAATTGTTAACAAGAGCAACAGTCACACGATTTCAGAGAACATTCACAGCTTGAAACATTGGGTAAAGACCTTTACCAGGAAGCCAACTCCTTAGCAAGTGTCAACATAGACCTCTTCATTTAAGGACGTGCTTAACCATCTGATATGTGATCCCATTAATTTACATGGAACTTGTCCAAGCATTTCACATGCGGAACAAATTCAATTACTTAAATAGAGAAAAGCCTTTGCCTTGTTCTTGCATTAAACATACTGCTCTAGCAATAAAAAAAGAACACACACACACACAATTCAAAACAGTAAGTTATCATAGAGCTTACTTACATTTGACTGCTATTTGAAGGTCTACCTTGCAACCAATCCTTTAAACCAAAGTGCAGAAAAAAAGGGGGTTTCAGTTGCATAAGCAAAATTAGTGTATTTAGTTTTCTTGGGGGTTACATGTTTTAAGAACTTGCAGCACAACCTGTATAGTGGAAATATTTCTACAGACTGTTCTAAACTGTGTTGAAAGAAAAGACTTGAGCACAACTTAGAAATGGTAGCTACAATTTAAAGAACAGAAAAGGCATTATATGCATCACTCTTTCAAGAGTTATTTAAATATTCTATTCTAAAATACAATACCTATACACAAGAAGCAGACTTTCTTGTCACAGTTCAAGTTGGTCCCCTTCTGTTCCCTCCTTGACAAATAAGGGTCCCAATATCATTATTATTTTTTATACATTCTGTTTCTTTTATTCATTCAGAGCTTCTTCTACTTAATAAATATACAAACCGTCAGCAAGGCTGCTTTAGAGTCTATCTGCTGAGTGTCTTCACTTGATGCTCTTCTACTCTTGTTATACACTACAAATAAAAGAAATTCATAATTGGACAAGGAAAGGAGTATGACATTGTTACTCACCTGTTTTCTAATACAGGGAGTATCTAGACAGTTTAATGCAGCTCTTACAAAAAAAGGCTTGATCCACACGTACATGACTGCTGCAAGTTTCCCAACCAGTCTTGGCTAGATCACTTTGCTTTTTACTACTTCAACTATTTGTGACAAAGGCAAAATAAGAGGATTCATCTGGCATGACTAGAAGAACCAGAATGAAACAGAACCAGATGCAAATAAAGCAGTAATGGATGTTAAGATGATTTAACTTCTTGCATTTCTTTTGTATCCTCTTTGAATACCTACTGTCAACATAATTTGGAGATAAAATTGGGTAACCTGAAGAGACAGCACACTTACATTCTTCTGAATGAACCACCAAAGGGTTCAGGGGATAGTCAGTAAATCCACCACAAGAACTAGACTGCCTCAGACTGGAGTCAGTTTGAAGACCCTGAAAAGAAATATCATTATTAGTCATCACTATCCCTGTTTTCTACTGCCAGTCTTTCAAATGAAGACATTGGCAATATCAAAGCAAATAGGGTGTTTTTTTTTGGTTGTTGAAAACGTAGCATAACTACTTATAGCTCGAATCCCCTCTGTTTCCCTCTCACCCACCCCCAAAATAAAACAAAACATTACTTTAAGGCTTTATGAATACTTTTTGGATAAAGATACAAGAAAGCAGAGTTTCCTATTTTAACTATAATGAACAAATTCAGCATTGAGGAGCAACCATGGCTCTAATTAACATAAAGAGTCTTCACTTACCTGAAGTCGAGTTGTCTCTATGCCCTCCAAAATGGCTTTTTTGAAGTCTTCCTGTTGCTCCTTTTAAAAAACAAATAGGGCAATTTGTAAAATTATTATCAGAAATAGACAAAAATAAACTTTGTGGTCACATTATACATATTAGATGGTCCAGAAGAAGCACCTCAACAGAACTTTGGCACTGCAAACAGTCTGACTAAATTCTCATGTCAGAGTCTACCTCAAATAACAGGCAACTGCAAATGGGAATTTGTATTTACTAATACATTTATCTTAGCAACCAAAGCAAGAAAAACGGCGCTTTTTTTAAAATATACTATAGCATCTAGAGAACAAGTTTCATATGATTAATAACCTTACTACATTTATTTTAATTATTCTTTAAGGATACTGAAATTATACATCACATAGAAGTCTCCTAGAAAAGTCTTTTTCCCGCCTTGGAAACATAATGAAATTTTTGCATGGTCACTTCCTTAAGTCACATACACTATCATCTTGCTCTATCACTAATCACTAATTCACTGAAATTTTGCTACACCCATCCTGAAGCTTATGAGTCAAGTGTTTCATGTGACAACACTAAAACATTCTAATTTAAATATAGTTTTATCTTAATTTTAATTGATAGTTATATTCATCATCTCAGCTTTCACACAATCAGATCTTTCTTAACGTTTCATTAGTATCATATTACGAAGCAACAGTACTGATGGGCAGTTAAGATTGCATGGCTTTCCACTACACTTTCATCATAAAACTGAATAGATACATAAACATATACTGGCAAGAATGCATGCGTAAGTTCTGTAATTATATTTGCTCTTACATTTTTTCAAAACATATTATGAAGTTAACAATTTAAAAAAAGCCACTATCCCCATTAACCAAAGTTTCACAGAAAATCTTCCAAGCTTACCTCAATATCAGCACTCCTTTCCTTAATTCTGTTTGCTGCCTCTTTAAACCGCTGTAATTCCATGCTGTCCCTGTGACCTTTGACACAGTGAATTAAAAAAGAGTATTCAAAATCCCAGGCAGTGTGCAATAGTCTGACCATGCCAAATAGTTTGTATCATCATCACAAAGGATTACAAATCAAAGTTTCCATTTAGGTTGTGCGTGCCTGATTTCACTAGAGAAATTTTTCCAAATTCATAAAAATTATATCAAATTTTGGGACAATAAATTTAGAGAAAACTATTGCTTTTCCCACATTAAGGTGCGGAGCACCACATTCAGACTGCAAATCTAACATTCTAAAAAATTCACGTGTTTAGGTCTTACATGAAGCAACTGGATAGACCAAATTGCCATATTTTTTGCAAGCATGATAAATGAAAGAAAAGCAGACAGTTTTCTGTAGTAGCTTTTACAACATACCCTCCATTACCTGAGCTGCCAAAAATATTCTTGAGTTTGATCAAGCATGTGTTTTTACAAGAAATGAAGACCTATTTGAAGTCAGCAGGTAAAGCTGTGCCCTACCAAAAGTTTCACAAAATCTGGGCAGTAAGAATGAAGAGTATGTTTTAAATGCTACATATCACAGGATCATATGATAAAAAAATGGCTTTGATAAAATAAGTATAGTTAGTATATGAAGTTATTAGTGGTGAAGTACATTCAAGGATCTAGATAGAGTTATACAATCACCAAGGCAGTTATTTTTTAGTCTTGCTTTATGAATAATAAGTGTTTTGTTTCTTAAATCATGAGGAAGTTATAAACAAGTAGCCGGTGAGTGTACAAATACTCTTCCTACAAATACACAAATCTAAAAATGCTAGTGCATCGAGTTATCTCCTTCGCACTCCAAGTCTTGTAGTAGAACAAGCCCTTGTCTAAAGAGTTAAATGCTCACATCTTCAACAAACTTTTGAAATACACTGAAAACAATAGGGATATTATAACACTTCTACAGGCAACTTGGCAATTCTAGATTGCCATCTTGTTTTATATGCTAAGCCTAACCTAAAGCATTACCTATGTTGAAGTAATCAGTTAGTAAACCCACACCTGTGTTTTGCAATGAATCTGCCACTGTTTTACCATTCAAATGTGTAGGTACTCTAACCAAAAATATACATCTTTTTACCATTAAGCAAAACTCAAGCAGAGGCACGATGCTGTATTTAAGAAAGGGACTTTGGAAGCTTCCAAAAGGACTGCCAAAAGATACATTAGCATAGGCAACAGTGGAAGATCCCAATTACAACTGTGTTTAGAAACATAGTACAGGAGGATCCCTCAGCTTGACACAGATACCACAAAGATATTTGTCCAGGATTCCATCAGCCTAAAGACTTCTGTAATTTTCGTCAAGAAATAGACAATATTTTTAGTTTGTGCAATGAGAAGGTAGGATCTTTGTAATAAGTTCTCCAAAGTTTGTCTACCATGCCTACATGAGGTAGAAGAGATGCTAATTGCACAAAACTGCTGTACTCAATAGCTATTTTTTTTCCTGAAAAATATTGTCTATGTGACAGAATTGACAAGAAATAACAATTTTTAAGTTAAAAAAAATCCAAGCAACATAAGGAAATTAGAGATGTTAAAAGCAAAAAAAAGCAGAGCATAACAGTAGAATAAAGTCACCTTCAACCGGAATACACCCAGATTACCATACAATTCTTGGTAAGTCAAACCTTGTGGTTTAGATTTGGTCCACAGTTTTTGAAGTAGTCCCATAAGGATGCTAGAACATAAATCTTGATTTTGTAGTTCCATTGCAAGGACATGTTGACTTTGGGAAAGTTTGTCTCTAATATTCAGTTTTCCATGTGAGTCACCACTTGTGTTACACTTGACTGTTGATGTCACGTCACAAGTTGACAAAGGCAACTTCTTTTGAGTATTGTTCTTCGATAAGTTGACAGAGGTCTGCTGATCACATTTGTCAACTCTGCAGCTGTAGTTATCATTAGTGTCACTCTCGTCATGAATAAAACCGCAATTAACGTATCCTCCATTTTCAACACAAGGTTGGGTGAAAGCAAGGCAAGCAGAGCCAGAAGCAAGAGGATAAGAGCAGCTAATAATGACTTCAGGACATTTAGAATCTACTTTATTATACTTACCCACAAATGCACCAAATTCTACATTATTATCTCCTTCTGTGGCCTTAGAGCAAACAGTCTCTTCATGCTTTATTGAAGAATCCAACTGACTTTTACAACTGGGCCGAGATGGCGTGCTAACAAAAAATTTAGCTGTTGGGGATGTTACATGTGGCATGCTGTTGGATGAATTGCCTAATTTTTTACTCCTGCTACTGGATTTTGAGATCTCTGCAGCCTGTATTCGTTGACGAAGTTCTGGAGGAGAAACAACATTTGGAAATAAGGCACTGCCTGAGGAACCTGCCTCTTGAAAGTTTATTTCTTCTCTTCGGGGAACTTGAGCTAATTCCTGACCAATTGTCTTATGTTGGCCTTCTTTGTCATCACGTATAGAAATGTTACAGAGTAAAGCATTATTTCGTTCAAGGCCTCCTTGAGGAAGAGTACCAAAAACATTTCCGATGCTATGTTTTTTCCATACAGAAGATCTTAGAGAGCCATCATCAATGAGGTTTTGTGCCAGATGTTTTGAAATGCTCAATTCCCGTGTAATTTCATTATGAACCTTGCTAGCTTCTGAAGCTTTCTGTGCAGTCAGTGTTTTCAGAGTGTCCACAGTTAGAGCAGACAGATCCTGTAGATGGCCAATCTGTGAATCTAAAGACTGCAGTGACCGCTTTATATAGTTGACACGATCACCAACTTCCTTTATCTGAATGCACATTTGCTCCACTCTAAGAAGAAGAAAAAAAAGAAGAAAAAAAAGCATCTGTGAAAAATTCTCAATAGGCAAAGGAACTTGCAACCTTCCTGCACATCTAAGTGGGGAGGGGGAAATCTCTGAAACTAGAAAGGTGATATAAGAGCATTGGACTGATTTCTAACAGTGTTTGTAAACACTTTTGAACCACAAAACTAACACCCATCAACTAAGGGCCTACAGCTCCTTCAGATGTATTACCTTATAAACCATAACAAACAACTAAATTACACCATATCTTCCTCCCCAAGCTATAAGTTTCTCTGTTCACAAGTTTTATTTATAAATACTATACCGTTCAAAAGTGACTCGAATCCTCTCTTCACTTCCAGAATGGAATTTATCATCTTTTTCATTGAAATACATCTCAACACACAACTCTTCAAAATCATGAAGTTTCTTTTGATCTTCTTCTGTCAGGAAGAGTTCTAAAGAGAGAAAAAACAACAGTTCAAGAGATGCGTATATAGTAAAGTAGTCGAGGTGATGAAAATTCGCAGCCATAACTTTACAAAAGATGACAAAAGAAAAAACACTCGATGCCTTATAAGTCTCTCTCTCTCCTCGCCACAGAAGAATGGGAACATCAAAGGATTCAATCAAAATAAAAATACTAACTCTGAGATGATCTGTGCACAATGTGCATATTCTTATGCACCTCCAATACTTTTTTTTTCATTTTTATGATTGTGAAATAGGCTAGCTTCCTTTGCTGGATTTTATAATTTGAATCTTTTTTGGGGAAAAAAAAAAAAAAAAAAAAAGAGAGAGAGAGTTTCACAAAAGGTTTTAAATAAAGACGAACTGTGTTTTTGGGGGTGGGGAGGGAAATGGACTTCCCTCATTAGTATTATCAAAAGACCAAGTTAAGTCTGTTAAGTCTTTCTATTATTTATTTTTGATGAAAGTTAGCCTAAAAAGATTTTCTAGGAGCCATGCCCCTTGTAAGAACATCTCAGAACTTTGAAGAGAATTAGTGTTATGCAAAATTAAAAATACTGAATACTAGAAACTACTCCTCCCTTTTGTTGAAAGCAATATGCTTATGAACATGGAAGTTAACACTTTTCTGGCAGTCTGCTTTATTTGCATAAAAATAATAAAACAACTTTTTGGATAAGAACTGTTCATACTTGGCCCATCTGAAGTCTTGTCTTTCTTTCTTCTTTTACATATACAACAAAACAGGGAAGCCATGTGGCTAAGAATAATAAGTGGTGGAGGAAGAACCGGTTTCTCATGGTAGGCCATAATGAAATGATAACGTTGATACTTCCACACTATGTTTGAAATAGCCTTTACTTGTAAATAAACATTGCTGAAAAGAAACAAAAAGAAGCATTTTAACACAGCAAGTATTTTACTTAATTGTCTCCAAAAAATCAATTTAATTATTGAAGTGTAAGAAAGAAAAATGATTTTAATGGAAACTAAATACATTCGAGAAAAACTTGGCTCTAAAGCTAGCAGTTATGAACTTGTTTCAACTAAGCTCAGTACCTTTTTACAGAAATTTCCAGTCTGTTAAATCTATTAAAAGACAAATATGAATCTGAAAAAGGATTAACAAAAAATTAACAATTATCAATTATTCAAATACTTACTTGAAAAATGCAATAAGGAGATTAACCATAATAATGTACTGTACAAAGAGGTAGACGGCTTGAAGAAATGGGGTCAACCATGTTCCTGGCCCACAGAGATGAGTAACTTTTTCATCAGAATTTTTTGCACATACTATTTTGGGAAAAAACAAACGAACACACATAGAAAATAGGTACAGCTTTTAGTACCCACAGTTACAACAGAAGACAAACACCTTTTTGAAAATATAGACAAAAAGACCACTTAGGACCGTGACACACTGTTCTGCGATTCAGTAAATCGCCATATAGTAGCAATATGCTAGATAAGGTTTGATTAATGACACAGAGGAATAACACTACAGTGGGAATCAGATAATTTCTCCCTTTCTCCCCAAACACCTAGCCAAAATTTTGTCATGATAGCTGTATAGAAAAGAATATTGCTAAGAGTAACTTCACAAGAAATTCTGTTTGAGTTTAAGCCATCAAAGATTTACACAGGAAAATGAAAAAGTGAGAATAATAGATGTCAGGCCAAGAACTTATGCATGTGAACACAGAGACAGTAATTCAATGACCTGACTCAATATGTCAAAACTACAAGGTATTTCACCTCATAAAATAGGAGCTTCAGAAGATTTTGTCAAAAAACGTCTTTTATAATACATTTAAGAACTGCAGTGTCTTACCATCAATTTCATATGCATACACTTCACCAAAAATCATCCAGTATGGATAAAACACAATGTCTCTAGCAAGAGTCCAAGACGGTGCTTCATTAGGATACAGTATTGCCTTCCTAGGAACACCAAAACTAAGCAGTACAAGTGCCATAATCACCACAATGTAAAACATGTTGGCCACCTATTAACAAACAAACAAAAACAAAACACACAGTTAATCCCACAAAGTCATAATTGCAACTTCTCACAGTTACAGTAAAAGCTTAATGGATTCTGTATATTCCATAATGAAAAAAGTTTAAAGCACTTCATATTTCAATTGAAAATTTGTTAGCTAAACACTCAGAAGATTTGTTTCCTTGCCTCCTTGCTCACAGCACATTTACTTTTCTTGGCCAAAAGGCAACTGATAAGATTTTCTTCATAATGTTTAAATACCTATTATATGGAAGAGTAGAAGCTGATAAAGCAAGAGAAATATCCTTCCTAATTTTTTGAATAGCTGTACAAAATACATGTGCAGTTTTCCAAGGGCTGATTATGGACTAAGAAAGAATACCTATGCCCCAGCAATAAATCAAAGTGGAAAATCATGTAACTGGATCCTCTAAGGAAGGGGGTTCAACTTTGTAAGAACTATTTCATAGGAGGAAAAAAAAAAAAAATCCATAACAACATAGTGCCGCTATGCATGGGTACTTTCAGCTCCCAACTTTAAAAAATTATGAAAGGCTACCTGAAATAATTTAGGGCAACTCACATATAATGACATGAAGAGAAATAAATAAAAACAATTCAAACTTTTTTTTTTTTGATATCAGAAGAACAATGAGCCAGAGGGCAACACTCCTTGGCTTAGAAGTAGCAAGTAAATATGAAAGAAGACATGAACAGGAAGGCACAACCCATTTTGGGTCTTCCACAGGCCAAAATACAAAGGTGTTTTAATACAAAAATATAAGTTAAAGTTTTGTGCTAGAAACTTCATAGGCAAGAAAACCCAGAACTAATACTTACCATTTTACCAATCATCATAACATAAGGGCCAGCCTGTTGATTTACAGCTAGAAAATCCAGTAATCGCACATACCAAAAAATTATATTGAGACAGTATGTTATTCTTCCAGCAACAAAAACATAATTTTCTTTGTAGGTATTTTCACCAAAGTTCCCCTTTGCTCCAAATCTTAATGCAAACCCAATGAAGAAAGTGACAATAGCAACTGTGTCACTAATATTGAAGTAATCACTAAACCACACTTTAATCTTCTGATTAATCTTCCCAGCCTCTGACATAAAAATCTAAAGAAAGAAAGAAGAAAAAAAAAAAAAAGTCAGGTCTCCTCACACTTACTGCATGCAGAAAAACATGTGAATTAGTATAATTTTTTTATACTTGCAAACGTAAAATATCTACTCAAATGTATTACTGTTTACATGTAAAAACTGAGAGATCCAAAAAGCTGTATTTAACCGAATCAGGTTCAGAACTCGAAGGCTGTATTATGTTCCTATCTGCTTGAACAGTGTATAAAGATATTGCTTTTATTCTGTTCGCTATTTTTCCCCGCTCTGCCCTGAGACAGCTATTGTTACAAAAGTAAGCTCTAGTTTTTGTGTTCCAGTTGGACCTTGAAGTACCAGGTTAATGGATTAGTGCTTCCAGTTTAAAAGATTCTTTTAGGATTTTTTTTTTTTTTTTAAGTCTTTAATTTATCAGCAAGTTGTAGCCATAATAGCTATCTTGCCTGGGTAAAGCTTTTTGGTTTTATTTTGTCTTGGTCGTAGTGGCAGAATCTGAGTTATATTTGAAGGAGGCAAGAGGGAAGGGAGTAGGAAGAGGAGAAAGCATACACAAAACCCCAAGTAAGCCTAAATATAGCCACCTTTTAAACAGAAAGGCGCAAAAGCAAGTCCAAGAAAGCTTTTGTATCAAAACTAGCAGTTTACATCAGAATTTAAGATAGAGCTATTACATCATGTACTCTGATGTTCAAGGTTCCCTAGGTTTTTGTTTTCAGGGCAGATTAACGCATATTGTTGTAATTAATGATGAATCACGGAGTCACCAGTTATGCAGACATACCTCCCGAACTTTCTCAATTGCTGATGTGAAAATGTAGGCAATGACAAACCACTCTTGAACAGATGGCAATTCTTCCATTTTCACAAGCACCACAAATGTGTAAAGCATGAGAAATCCTAAGTATGCCAACTAAAAACAGAAAGGAAAATTATTCATAAAATTACATAAGTGTTCTTTACAAAGATATTCAGATTCTTTTGATGTAGGATAAAATAAAAGCTTCATATTCAGTTACAGCACTACATTTACCTTAGTGGAAAAGTTTTTATTCAGAATGAGATACATTTTGCTCTTACTGAGAGGAAAAGTAGCAGCAGTAAATTATTTTTTCTGTAATAAAAATTAGAGAGTTTAATACTACGATGCTTCAAACAAAGTTGTCCATGAACACTTCTTGCAAGAACACTTTTTAACCTAGATTCCCTGCTAAACACTGATGAAACTAGTTGTTAGACCCCAAATAAATGTTCATGCTAAATACTCCTTCTTAATCACCTTACCAAGGGGGAACAACAACACCACCACCACCACAACTCGATAGAATTACACATCAAGAAAAAACCCAAATTTGTATTAGATTTCCAAACAGAAACACATTACACAGAATACCTCCTTTCAGTGGTGGCCACTGATAGAACTAGAGGCAATGGCCACAAACTGAAACACCAAAAATTCCACAGGAACTTAAGGAAGAAACTCTTAACAGTGAGGGTGACAGAGCACTGGAACAGGCTGCCCAGAGAGGTTGTGGAGTCTCCTTCTCCAGAGATCTTCAAAACCCGCTTGGACGCAGTCCTGTGCCACGTGCTCTAGGTGACCCTGCGTGTGCAGCGGGTTTGGACTAGACGATCTCTAGAGGTCCCTTCCAACCTTAACGATTCTATGATTCTATGAATACACAGAGCAAAACTCACCGTATTAAACCAAAACTTCACAATTGGGGCATGATAAAATGCATAAAATTTCTGGGTAATTGGAAGCTTTTTTGGCTTTGCTGGTGTCTCCATATCATGCTTTTCTGAAGCATTGTCCAAGATCCTTACTTCTTTAAACACCTCCTAAAAGGTGATGAAAGGGTTGTTAACTTCAGATACAGAAATATATGATTCTGGAGATTTGTTTGGGGATTTTAGCTCTTATTTTTAAAATGTAATTACTATTTATTTTAAATTAGAAGAGTTGTTATTTCTGCACCCTTTTCCCCTGCATTACCATAGGTATTTCATCTACAGCGTTTTGGAAGTTGTTTTCACTGTCATCCATTGCCATTTGATGTGCATCCTGGGACTGAGGGATATGTGACATTTCAGCCTTGGTTTTATATTCCAACAGCAGTATAGCAGGAGGCAATAAAATGCTCAGTATCACCTGGAAAAAACAAAGACTAAGTGCAAACACCCTTAAAATAGTTCACGGCTATATCAAAATACCAGAATACATCAGTATACAGAATATCCCTTGTAACAGTACAAGCAAAATTTCTCTTTGTTAGTGAGACCAAAAAAAGTAGAAAAATAATTAGTTGCTGTTACTTATATACATACTTAAGAGGCAAAGATGACATACATAGAGTGTTCCTTGACCTGAGGAAATAGGAAAGGGGAATAATCAATAAATGCCAGAACCAAAGGCCACTAGAGAGAATGTGCTCCAAGCCTGAAGATCCAGAGATGACCCATTTACACTCTGCTCCTCAGTCTAATGCCCAGAAACTCTGGAACTGTGTACTGCCAAGACAGACTTAAAAGTATACATGAGTGTTACTTTTCAGCTCATGGTAAAAAAAAAAAAAAAATGAAAGCTAAGGATGGGGAGAGAGGAAAACAAACAAACAAGCTTTTTTATCATTAGCCTGTTAAAGAGCAAGCAAGAAAATGGCGAATCGGTTATCGAAGAGGATTTTAGTACATCACAAGTTGAGCGATGCTTGTTGGTATTTTGTAGCAAAGTTGTATTTCACTGTATGTCCAACAGCAATAAGTTTTTGGTAGGCTATCTCAAGGAAATATGCAACTCTCATTTTGGTTCACTTGATCTGTGCCATACAGTGCACCATTAGAAAACCTACGGCCGATTTGCCTAACTTGTTTCACTCTGTATCCTCCCTTTGCTCAGTTTCTGCCTTCAAAATAAAGTATATAAAAGATTTTCTACATCTAGTCACAAGCACAGCCTGAAAAGCCAAAATGCATGAAACTATTCTTACAGTTTTGTTTTTATTTTTACTGTTAATTTTTTACCACTATATTTTTAGTAGTGGATTAGTATTCACATGATCTATTTAAGCCTCTGAGTAAAGGCTACTTGCCTGTTTTCTGCCTTCTATATTTCTGTACCTTATTTGAAAAGACAATAGATTATCAAAAGAACAGTTAACAATAAATATTTCCAGCTTTGATTATGTTATAGAAGAACTATTTCACAGAATTACTAACTTAAGTAGAGGTGGTAAAAAATTGTTCCAACAGCATTAAACACACATGTTTTCCTTCCATTTAAGCATAATGGAAGTATATTCTGTTCACTCTTCTTATACCAATAATGAACTGTGATGATGCCTACCTTGTACCAGGAATTCTTCCTCATATTCAGTCTTCCCATCCACATATCTGATAATAACATTTGTGTACAAGTATGTGCCACAAATGGACGAAGCCTTGAGGACACTGCTAGCTTCAGACAAGTCGAGTTACTCCAATTTTTAAGCTCATAGGTGAGTAATTTCATCGCCATGGTCTCATCTTGTCGGAAGGACTGCTCTAACAGTTCAACTGCCAGCTGACCAAACTCGCTAGAATGGAAAGGGGAAAAAAAAAAAAAAAAGCATCAAAGAAAACAAAACTTAGTATGTGTACTGATGATCTTGAGCTCAAGCTTTATGTTCCTGTACAATCAAATCTTTAGCAATACAACCTGAGAGATACCTCCCCTGCTTTCTGGCAGATGCACCTTATTGTAATTCCAAAGAACAACATGTGCATTTGTGACTTCCACTAAAAACATACACAGACTACATAAAATTGTTAAAATACTATGAAGCAAAAAGTCATCAGAAGTAGAGTTATATTGGCATTGAATGTGCCATTTGATAAATAAAGTGGGAAATACCTAATACACAACAAAAAAAACCACATCCCCACCACCACCACTTCAATTTTCAAGCATGCTGAAAGAATATTAGGGTTGTGTTCATGTGTAACCTACTACTCCTTATAGTAAATTCAAGAACAGATCTTCAACAACAAGAAAGTGCAATTTACTTGGAATACTGTTTCAATTCTTCTGAAGTATCATCAACAAGGTCACTTTGTTTTGCTTCATACGCCATTGAACGGTACACTTTGCAAGCAACTAAGGCTTTAGCCATGGATTCCTCCCCATGCTGCCAGAAGAAGAGGGCCATCTTCTGCCTCTTCATTAGCACTGCCCAAAGTAAGAGCTCGTTGAGAGGATATGCAAAACGTCTCGTTTCGGGATCATCTATGTCTACTATTTCATCTTTGGTTCTTTTCTTTCCCGCGCGTGCCAGAAGAAGGGGGCCTTCTTCTGCCTCTTCATTAGCACTGCCCAAAGTAAGAGCTCGTTGAGAGGATATGCAAAACGTCTCGTTTCGGGATCATCTATGTCTACTATTTCATCTTTGGTTCTTTTCTTTTTTCCCTCTTCTGCACCAGTGTCAATCTTTAAAATACAATCAGAAAGGTAAATTTTAAATCTCCGAATTGTTCATCAGAAACTGTAATAAAACACAATGATACAACAGCTCAAGTAATATGCATTCACAAAAACAGAGCTGAATTTCTGAGCATATTTAAGAAGCAGTTCTATCTCCTTCAAAAATTCAATTGAATCTAATTTATTCTAGGAACTGAGAGACTAGCTGGTTTGATAGATAGATTAACAGAAAAGCAGTAACTAATATAACCTAAAACAAATGACTTATAGTAACAGAGCCAAATCATGCCCGTCTGCACAACCATATATGCAGCAGCCCTGCCAAGAAAAAGCTTAAACTCTTCTATGTGAAGGAGCAAATCTGGGAGGGGAGACTATAATAAAGTCATTCTTTACACAACCCTGTAATCACGCTGGAGAGGTTATGAACAAGCATGAAGGCAAGACTGAAATTCCAGCTTTACACCAAAATAGTTGCTATTCATTTCAGTGGCACTCAGATGTCACCCAGGTTCTCTCCTCTTTAGGATTTGAAAGGAAAGAACACCGCCGCGTGCCCCCTCGCATCTGTACCTTTGGTTTGTACGGCTGTGCTGTTTTGATGAAGTGATTATGTCGCATTTTTTCTTTCTTATCTGCCCTGTTACCAAAAGGCTCATGGCTTTTACACATCTGAGGAGTATTATTTGAAGGATTTCGCCCAGATCGCTGAAACAAGAATGACAGTAAGATTTTTTTTTCCTAAACATCTACCTAAAAGATATTATACAAATCAATTGTTTACAGCCAAGTGCTCAGCTGAGCAACTAAACACTTTGTCATGAAACAGTGATAAATTTATACATAGCATTAACAGAGCTTACATTCAATGTTTAAGTATCAAATTTAAAGCAATTCAAAAAAATAAGTAAAGCAACGAGCATAATTGTCAAGAAGCTGGGATAGTCTTGAAGAGGCAGTATGTTTAGCACTCATTCTCCCCCTGCAAGTAGGAAAACGGGGAACAGAAAAGGAATTTGGATGCTAGAGCAAGGAAATGCTTTACATATAAATATATATTTTCATCATAAATATATGAAGCAGTCTGTCTTGTTATCCAACTGCTACATACCCGATTGTTCCCGCTGAGACTATTGTATATAGCTCTAAAGCGTTTTCTTGTATAGGTGCATCTATAGGTTCCTCCCATCAAATATTCAATAACCAGCCCCACATCAATCAGGTTGATTTTATAGCCTGGAGGAAGATTTCCCTAGAAATAAAAAAGTACTTTTAGTTTCGCAAATTATAACCTTAATTTAATCTCAGAATTAAGATCAGAATATTTCTACATGTTACATCATAACTCTAAATCAAAAAGAAAAAAAAAATCAATCATTTCATGATAAAAACCGATCTACACAGCTCAATATTTAGTAGTTTCAAAGTAGACAAGTTTGTACTTGTTCTGGATGATCTTCCCTGGCAGATCATGCAAGCAAGAAGCATACAAGCAATGAAAACAACAAGTTTTGCTGCCGTGGGTTTTGTCTGTTTGTTTTAACAGCCAAAACAACTCCACCTGCGCACATTGGCTTCCAATCCCTCAGAGAGCAAAACAAATCAGAAGCAAGAAGGAAAAAAAAAGACAACTGTCTCAACAGGGTTAGCGCACGGAATGACAGCAGAGAGGTAGCTTATTGCTTCAAGCAAACCTAATCAATAAATTCCAGATTAAATTGACAAACAAGAGAAATCATCAAGGAAAAAAAAAAACAAAACACAAACACACCATAACCACCACCAAAACTCCCAAAAGTCAACATTGAAGTTAATATTGCTAGTTTACAACATACCTGCTTGACATCCCGAACAAGGTGAAAGAGCGTTGGATTAGTTGGGCCTTGTTTCTTTATAAAAGACAGAAAAAAAGAGAGTTGGAACAAGAAATTAGAAGTGCAAGGACAACATAAGATCACAATAGAAGTCTCCCAGTCTTACCACATGTTGTCCTAATCTTTAAAAACAAGTAGTAATCATTAAAGACAAATATTTCCAACTGTAATATTTAAGTATATAGCATTTCCTTATTGTATCATTCTGTAACTTTCATCATATTTTTAATTTGGAACCTAATTAACACACCTATACTTAGTCAACAAAGGAAAAAAAAAAGAATGTAAACAGCACCAATATGCATATTGTTTGTTATAAAATTATAAAAACAAGCTTTAGTAAATAGTCATTTTAAGTCATGGGAGCACAAACAGGCAGATATTCAGGTTTAGGGAATTGAAGAATCCACTATAAAAGCTCCTTTACTTCTTTAGTTTGTAATTGAACATCCCCACTTTTTCCTAAGATGATTTTTCTTCCTTTTTTTCTGATTGTCCCTGAAGGTAAGAACTGTTTTACTTTTAGACATATGGTTACCCTGGCACCAATACAGATCTTGATAAAAAGCAATTCCATAAAACATTAAAATTCTGTTCGTGCAGTATACAAATCTATTAAAAATTAATTTCAAGGTTTTTCTTGTCATAACCAGATGAGAGAATTAATGCAAGTCTAAAACTTATTTGTATACTACTCACTACTCATTTTTGTCAAAAGTTTTGTGTGTAAGTACTTAGTGCTATACAAAAATTACCTTAATTTTTAAATGTTTAAATCAGCATTCATGAAAACAATTTTTCAATACTATGTTTATAACCATGTAGGTTCACAAAAAGAGCTATTTCTACAATTACTTATTGTAGTAATACCCATATGTCAGACTCAAATGAAAATCCTGCTGACAAACTGGCCATGGTGCCATTTGTGGGGAGGCTGAAGGCAGCTGGGGCACTCGAGAGCAGCCAGACAGCTTGCACTTCTCAACCCTAATGTCCTGTGAGGGACTGTCCTCAGCAGCAGCACATGGCACCAGGCTAGCGCACGTGACCCGCCATACAACACTCAAAGAAAAAGCAATCTGTCTAAAAAGCAGTCATGCACTTACTGTATTATAAAGTTCTTCCAGTCTGGGAATTGTAAGGAACTTGTGCATGCTTACACCGTTTTCAATCAGAAGTTTCACAAATGCAACTCTATCCATCACAAGGGCATCTAACATAGCCTGTTCCAGAGAGCCAACCTACAACAAAGAAGTACAGGGTAGAGGCAGGACAGAACCAGTGAAAATGTTTTGAGAGAAGTATACTTAGGTTACAAATTGATCTCATTCCTTTATAGAGGGCAGATGCTTTTATGTCTGCAAAGATGCCTCCTTGGGTTCAGGAAATCCCCTGAGCTTCATACAACACCATGAGGAGGGAACATTCTGAGGACCTATCGCTGTTTGCTCTCTGGTCTTACACTTCCATAGAGATTTCTTATGGACACGCTCAAATACAGTGTAGTGGGCTAAAGTGACATTTAGTCTAACATAGTTCAGCTGTTCTCATACTTTGATGCCAGATGAAAGGTAGGAAGATTTAAAACATTTAAACTGCAACTGGCTTCAAAGGCAAATGCTCAAAATTATCACTGCTATCAGCAAGCCTTCCAGTATGCACTTTTGACTGCACAGTCCCACAAGACTGTATTTTATCCTTACATTAATAGGGAAAAAGGCAAGATCACTTTTTCAAACTCATTTACAAACCACAAAACATGTACTTCTCCTCAAAAGGCACAGCAGTACTGCCAGCCAAAGTTAATATATGTATTTTATTGGCTTCTTCTTAAGAACGTCATGATTGCATAACTAAAAAATAAAAACAAAAAAAAATTGAACAGCATGAATTCAACTTTCACCTTTTGTAGTGTCTTTTCTCCCCCTTTTTTTGGGTTACTCAGCACATTTTTCTAATTCTTGGACTATTTTAAAGTACACAATAATAAAACTATTACAATTCTATCAACTATTCAGAAATTACTGTCCTAAAACAAATGTGCTCTATAGACTATTTCAAGTCAAAAGACTTATTCTTCACAGAAAATGGCATTCTGCTTAATCTAGACTCATACATACCAGCCACTGTTGCCCATAAACAAAAACATGATTTTTGGCTATGTCAACTCTATCCCACGCTAGTGTAAGGACAAGCTGGTCAAATGCAGAGGCGTTCGTGCCTTAAGAAACAAAACACAATGAAAAAAGTTAAATGAATTAAGACATAAAACCTTAAACATTCTTACTTCTCAAAGTGGACAAATTAAGCAATACAATATAACTTTGTAGTAGGTATTTTAGTAGTTATGACATGTAGACGACGATGACACTGTGAAATGAGAAAGAGTAGTAGATAAATATTTGCTTAAAAATAAAAGTTTCCTACAGATTATAAATAAATATTCCAGTATCAAAAATAAATAAATAAAATCACTGAACTGCAGTATCTGAAGATTCTAAATTCTCCTTAAGTCTCACCTTTTAGCAATGCTGTAAGTATCGCAACGTCAATATCTTGATGCTCATCTGACCCAATATGAAAAACAGTAATCTGTTCAAAACAAAATATATGATTTTCAAACACATTCTTGCTATTCTATTGGACAAAGCTTACTAGCCCCAGTCTTTTATATTAGGAACGGAAATAACATTGAAAAATCTTCAATGTATATTAAACCTACCCTCTAAATAACTTTTACCTTCAGTGTATTCTTTAAAAAGTCCTCCTAAGTGGAAAAGGGAAAGCAATGCAAAAGTCCTTTACACTCCTCTGAGTCTTTTCTCTCACTATGATGAGAATTTCCTACTGGCTATCACCATCTGCCTATCAGTTACCACATAGCGTTCTATTTACCTTCCCACTTCATTCTAGTTTAAAAGATTAACCTGCTAGCAAACCTGTTTAACTGAAGATGCCCATTTAAAAAGTTGGAACAGCATAATAAGGCCTCCATAAAAGGTTTCCATGAGGGACACCAGTAACTGAATTAAGGCTATATAAGTTATATATAAATAGTTTAGACTCTATTAAGTGCTTTAACTTCAAGCATTCAACAGTAGCAGTCCTTCATTTGTATACTAATAACTAAAAGACAAAGCAAAACACCTAAATAGGAGCTTTGAAAAATAAAACAAAATCAAGAAAGTAATCCACACACAAAATACATACATTACTATGCACAAAACAGAATATACAACAACTATACACAAAACAGAATTTTATCAGTTGAAAACAAATAGGATTAGAAACAAGGAGGAAACTCCATTTACCAGGAGCAATCACAAGAATTAAGTCTTTCTTGGCAAAAAGAGATAAAGCATACAAGAAAAACCCTGGATTTGGCTATCTTCTGTGTTTGAAAAGATACATTATGGCCAGAAAAGATTTAAGATCTTAATCAAAGAAAACATTGAATTACATTTTAGATACACAGATGCATGTACCTTATAGAGAGATTTTCTACAGTGATATCTACTTACAAGCTCTTTTTTTTTCATGCATTCCAACAATGTCTGAAACAGATGAACCGCTTCACTTTGACCAAAATTAAATGTCTTTTTGATGGTTGAAATTATTTCAGACTCTGCACCTTCAGGAACATTCCTGAGATTATAACGAACAGAGAAACACTAATTGTTACAAATGAACAGCTAGAACGGTTACATATTTAATTAGTCTGAACATACCATCTACAGTCCTGCCATTTATAAGCTTGTAATTGTTTCAGGGACAAAGCTTGGCTAACTATTATAAAGAAGTATAGGTTGCTTAATCTAAAGACTTGCAGCTACTGCTGCCTAGAAGTAATTCAACCTCCCTCAAACTCAGTTCTGACATATTCTCAGGTAAGTATTCACTCCTCTAAGCAAGACCCTCATCTGATGTCACTCTCAATGCAGAAAGCTGTCTAACACCCTATTTATCTTCTCCTCCTGGATCTGAGGCAGTCCATGCAGCTAGTACCCAACATATTTAAGAAAATAAGCACATCTGACAACTAACAAGAAGCTACTAAGGACAGCGGACCAGCAGGAAACCACACTGTTCTCTGCACAGAAGTTGATATAAATTTAAATTTTAACAGTATGCAGAAGAAACAATATAAATACTGTTCCTTCTCCTGCAAGCTACTACCATGCAACACCTAAATACATAGAAGCAGTATTTCCATTCAATCGAGTGATATTTTCAAATAATCCAGTAACGTATTCAGAATATGTTATTCTCATATCTCTGGAAGATCTGGCCAGTTCTGAGTTCTGTTGAGCAAAACACTATTTCAGATACTAAAAAAACAGTCACGTTCGTCAGTTAGCAGGTTACTGCTGCTTAGTTTACATCTGGAGACAAAGCAGACTGAGAGCATTTAAATTGATAGTTGGGTGCTCTAGTTAAAACAGCATAACACAGCTCAGAGTAGTGAATTAACATGTGCAACGTTTCCCCTTAACTTAGCTTATAAGTGTATTTGCTCTTGCTCTCCTTTTATAAGTATTGCTAAAGCAACCTGCCAGTTGCACCGAGTTCTGTAGATGGCACGTGGGAGGAACCCAGAACTAGAAAGAAATCCCAGTCTTTAGCAATTCTTCATATCCAACCTAGCAAACATGACCACATGCACGACTAAATTCTACTTTTAGCTTTTATGTTTCCATGGCTAAAGTTCTGGCACATCTTCATCAAAGGAATACTCTCAAAAGAGATCGCTGTATAACTCATAGCTTGACTACAAGTACTATGACTTACCCTCCCTCCTCCGTTTGCTTGTGAACATAGGCCAGTATGTCTGCAGCTCTACCAGTCCCTTCACAAACTACCACCGGCACGGGAGGACTTTCTTGAAGGAAGTCTAAAACCGTCAGTATGACATTGGGTCCACCTTCAAATACCAGCGCTACCACAGGAACACCTTGGCCAATTCCTACGAAGTTGAAAACAAACCCCTACTTCAAAACATTTTTTAAAACCTTTGTCAGTATAAATGAAAACAGAAGCAAAAAGCATTAAGCATTTAATCAGGTCTTGCAAAAGAAATTTTTAGTGGCAAAGTTACAGGAGGGGCGTTAAATATTATTGTCATTATTTTGTCTTTGTAAACGCAATAATGACGGTAGACATTTCACATATCTAAAATGAAAAATATAATGTATTTCAAACTATCTGGCACTTCAACTTACTTGAAGCTATTTATATTTATTTAGCTAGATCATATAGTGAGAGAAAAAAAAAAACACTCAGAACTTGTTGTGAACAAGTCAAACACAGGTGCAAGATGTATGTGAAGTCAAGAATCCTCCACTGGATAAATGCAACTGGGATTTCTTGCAGAACTGATGATGAAGTAGTGATCTATTTGTGGATGTTTGCAACAATTGCATACACCTTTGCCAGCTAAAAACAATTCAAGGAAGCAAGGTAGGAGGGGCATATGCACTGCTAGGATTCACTTTTATTTATTCACTTATTTTTTAAAGGGACTAAGCATGCCTATTCTACTGGATGAAAGTTAAATGCCGTTCAGGAAACATTTTTACTACTGTTAATGCAGTTTCAAAACCGTTCTAGGGAAAAATTGCATTGCAAAGCAGCCAGATAAATAGAACACACAAAACAAAAGAGATTCTTTCCAGAAACACTCCCAAGCTACTGCAGAATAGTGATTTATTTTATTTTATTTTTTAAGATAACCCTCTTTCCCCTCCCGCCCACCAGTGATTTCCAAAAAACAGAAAATGTACATGATTCAAACACAGGTAACATGGAAACCCTGCTAACAGGGAATATAATGGAAGAAGTCTCAGAAAACATCTTCCCCACACATGAAGTGATCCATAGCTGGGAAAATACTACCCAAAGCTACTTCCTCCTCACACAGCTGATCTTTTACAAACTCAATTTCTCTACATGGGACTGCAATTGAACACTGTCAAAATCAATCGGATTGGTAAAGCTTAAGTATATGCTGATAATTTAAGTGAGGTATATCTGCTTTATCAAAGCAAAATTACGAGCTCTGTTCAAATGAGGAACTTTCCTCTCAGGTTTCAGAGAAATCCCAAGTCTTTCAGCAACTCCTAAGGTCTAAAGCGGTGGCTGAAATGATGTGCAAAACGGTCAGGTTGAAAGAAGTCAGGTTAAAACATGTAAGAAACTCTCTTTTTTGTTGTTTTTTGATTTTTTTTTAAAATTTCTCATTTGAAAGTTTGACATAAACATTCAGTAAGGCACAGTAACTTTGGTCAGTCTTTGGTCATCATGGTTACTTACTTGCATGGATCCGTTGCAAATTTATAGTTTTTTCCAGTTCTCTCCGTAATTTAACTTCCGCTCCATATTTTCCGACTGTTCCATCATCCACCAGAATGAAATGGGAATGGAGATTATTTAAGACATTTAGCTTACTTAGTGGGTTTAGCAAGGTTTGATATGGAGCAACCACCTAAGTACAAGCACACAAAAATATGTTTTAATTTAAAGATTGAAATTCTTTGTGAAACCTAGCTGTTTGTCTAGATACGACAATTAGAGGGAAAACAACAAACACTAACACATGCAAGTATGCCTTGTTTGAGGATACACCAACAGCTGCAGCTAGCTACATAACTTTGTGCAGGGAAACAAGTAACTATCACAAAATAAGCGAGTTCTGGAGGATAATAAAGAAAAGGACTATTGAAAATGTGTCCGTACACACAGAAAACTCACGATTGTTCTGGCAATATTAGCCTGGAAGACTCAGCATCAAAAAATTTCAGTTTACTATCCTCTGTAAATGCAAATTCTCCATAAAACTTGAGCATTTTTGCAATACAATCCACTAATGCTAATAGGCAGACAAGGAAGAAAAATAAAAGAAAAAAAAGCACCCACAAAGTTAAGAACAAGGTCCTCCTCTGCTGCATTTACATTTTGCAACTTGTTTACCCTAATGATCTTTCCTAAGTCATAGATGTCAGTGTATCTCCATGGTAAAGCAAGCATTACAATGTTGCAAAGACAGTGAAAAAACACGCTTAAGCAAATCTGACAAAAAGTCACATAGATAATTATTTCAATTAGATTATCCTTACATCTCTTCCAACAAGGTCGTTTCTGTTTTCAATTACTCCCCATGGAGCAATCCCAATAGTGCAAATCTTCCGAGATGATCTGGAAGCATGTTCTCTGAGAGCATCACCAACATGTTTCGCAACACCTGTTTGTGCACAAAAACAAAACCATTAAATTAAATACCATGCCTTATTAAACAATAACTTTAAGAAACAGACCTCTTCTATTGGTTTGGCCTGTTAAGAAGCCTGATAACTACTGGGAGACACATGACCATATATTAGTAATGCTACAAAGTAAGTATTAGTCTAGAGAGAACTATGTTAACAGCTTCCAGCATTTATTGCACTTGCTTTAATCACAAATAAAGCAATAAGAAATGGAAGTTTTTCCTCCCACAGTTTGAAAACCATTGTGTTGTTTGTCCTAGAGAGACAAGAGAATAGCCTATTTCAAGCTATGTATGTTCAAGTATAATAAAACATTTTATGTTTACTTGACCAAACTAAAACTTGAAAAAACACTTGGCTTTAAGATACAGCTAGGCATCTATTAAATCTTTGGGCTTTTATAAACCATAATCCAGTTAACTACGCACATTCATTTGTGCTTTTCTTACCTGTGTTAACTCCTCCAGTTATAATCCAGGCTCCTGTTGTTACTGCAGCTTTAATAAGACCTTTGCCAAGCAACTGCTTGATGCGTGGGTGAAGTTCGAATTTCTGCATGCCCCCGTGTACAGATATAACAAGCTTCGGCAACTCCATCTGCCATTCTTTAAGCATAAGCTGCAGAATAGCTTCAGGCTTAGTGTCATATGACAATCGCACATACTGAAGACAAAAGAAAAAAGGTTGAGTTAAAAGGTTCTCAGATGGTTCTTCTAAGAACCATCACACAATCAGCAAGGAAAAGGAACAGCCAGAACACATTTTAGGAAAATTTGTTTTTCCTAAGCCTCGCTACAGAAAATTTGACTTATTTCCATGTAGCATAGTAGATCCAATAAACGGACAAGTTTACATCGTGCCCCAAAACTTGGGCAGAGACATAGTTAATAGTTAAGAGTTAGGAAAATAAGTTTTAGAAAGAGGAAAAAGCTATAGAAATAAAATGTTATTTCATTTTGCTGACACAGTATCCTAGAAAAATGAGTTTTTGAAAATATTGGATTATTTCTAAATTCGATTTTTTTTTTAATTTCATCCACCACCTTTATTAAGGTATTTAGAAAAAAAAAAAAGCATCATAAATACCTTAGCCCTGTAAGAATGAGAGCCGCCTTGAAAGTTGATGACACCATAAGCATCGGTAGGAGTCTGTTCTGTATGCTTTTCCACTGACCATTCTTCTGTTTCCTGATTATTACAGTTTTCACCCAGCTTCACATCGGAGTATTTCATAGCAAGACTCGCAGTAAAACAGGCATGTTGCCTGACCAAGCGGCCGCAACAGCACCTGCAACACAGCACATCATTTAGAATACTTGAATGAATACAAACATCAGAAGGGTAGTGAGAAAAATTATTTTATCTATAAGAGAGACGGAACAGATTTAAGGTAAAGTTTCTAAATACCATATAAACCTATTCCCTACAAGAAGCCTTGTTGCCATAAGTATTCGAAACAAGGATAAACAGTAAGACACATAATTATGCAAAATATTCAAGTTTACTGACAAAGAAAGTTATAGGCCAGAATAAGAGGCCAGAAAAAAAAAAATCAATATTTTGTGTCCAAGTACTTTGTGTCATATTTATAAATAAGCAATATACGTATTGCAAATGGTTCCCTTTTTTAAAAAAATAATCTTCTAACATTTCATGTTGAAAACTTTTTAGAACTCCATTATGAAAGTCTATATTTAATGGAAAGAAAGAAAAAAAAAAACACTAAAAATAATGAAGAACTAAAAGAACACTTACCTGACAAGCTGCTGACAAATTTGACATCCTGGAAGGCATCTGTAAGAAATATCATTTAACACAGGTTAACTCAAGTTTAAGTGTTAACAGGAAGAAAGTCACACCACTTCACATGTGCAAACTGATACCTCGTATGTAAACCCAGCTGAACTGTACGTGTGGGAATGGTGTTATTTGATCAGTGCTAAATTGCATGGGAGGAGGGAAAAAAGATGTCTGAGTAAACTTTATATAGTTTTACACAGTTATTTTATTATATAAAAAACTTTCAATTTCTAACCTTTTCTATCTTAAGTATGTACCTTGTTTTCCTGCTAATTGTTTTAATAAAGTTAAAAGAATAATTAAGCTTATATCACCATTTCCTACAGTTTTCAAAGCAGTGTTAACCACTCACTAGCATACAAGTGAAATATACACAGATAAAATTGCAGAAATTACACACTAATTTCAAACTTTTTTCAAACTCCAAGCATAAACAATTGCTTATTTTTATCCTTGAATATTATATTCTATTGTTAATTTTTTGTTTAACTAATTCTGGCAAATTATTTAACTAATTCTTGCAAAAACAAATACCAAAAAAGTATTTATTTATTTTTTTTTAAAAAAAAAAAATATTGCCTACATATGACATCTTGGATTTTGTCTACATCTGAATCAGTTACACATAATTTGGGTACAGCAATATATGATTCTTCGAAACTGATAGAAAAAAAATCTGATGGGGAAGGTGTAAATTCCCTTTTATGCTACACATGGGTTAAACTGAAAAGACAAATGTTGAAGACCATTTTGTTCTTTTGAAAAAGGTCTGGAAATTTTAACAGCTTCCTAATTACTTCATTTACATTTGCAAATTTTCCATGTGCTACAATCACAGCCATAAATTCTAAAAGCTTCCTCAGGTCACACAGTTTTAAGGCATGTGATGAATAATTCAAAATAACTTAAAAACTCTAAAGGGTTTGCTTTGTTCCTTCTATTCCACCCGAAAATAAGTTCCTAAAAGAAAAAAAAGAAAAAAATATATATCTTGGGATAAAAAGAAGAAAAAGCTACAGTGTCAATAACTTTGGTATTTTGAGGTAGACAAAACAGTCTTAAAACACAAAATTCAAAACTGTTTTCAATGTGTTTTTTTTATTTCACATCAGTGATCTAGATCCTATGGCTATGAACACCAAGTTAATTCATTGTAGGAATTCTTAAATTTCACCTATGATATTTACCAAAGGTAAATTCTACAAGTAAGACTAAATTCTAGAAGAAATAAATGCTACAGCTATCATTAAGTTCACTTGATCTTTAGTAGCACATATCTAGTTCAGTATAAAAGTGTTCAAAGAGATTTAGAATCTCTCAGCTAAAATCTCTTCCTTAGTTTCCACCTCCTCTCTAAAATCCCATTTCCTCATTTTTTACTCTCACTGTTTCTTGCAGATCTTAATGATAAGCAAAGCAAAAACACTTATCAAAATGCTTCCTTTTTATCTTCCCTGGAAGTAGAGCTTTGTTCATCCTTTGCTTTGTATCTATTATTAGTCTCACTCCTTTCAGAATATTCCTTTTCCTGCTCCTTTCTATGAATCTCTCATCCTTTCTTACACCACTATTAGCTTTACTTTTACACATCACTATTACACTAGCATTGTTGTTCTTCAAATCTATATAAAGACCAAACAATTCTATGGGACTTTCTCTATGGGACTTTCTGATTTTTCAGAACTCCGCACAAGAAAAAAGAAAATTAACAGAAATACACAGAGAACACCCACTGCAGAGACTCCAGTGACACACCACTAAAAGCAGCAAAGAGTAGGCCAACACCTATCGAAAGGTTTCTGCAATGCCAAGGTTGCATAAGAAGAAAAAAAAACTTACATAAAAAGGACAAATAAATCTAAGAGACAGAGTGAGACTGCCCAGACAGAAAGGGCAATTAAACACAGTATTTTGCTATGGATTGAATAGTGTTCCACTACTCTCTCATACTCTCTCAATTTAAAAGGTAACAGGGATTTCTCACACTATTTCTAGCTTACCTGTGGGGGTCTTTTGAACTTGGTATAATATATACGCACTCCCTCTTGGTGAAAGTATTTTCTATCCAGGATTTCTGGGACTGAAAAAAAAAAGAAAAAAGTGAATAGTATTATAAAACACAAGTTATATTATCTTTATATGCGCTGCATTCTCCACAAAACAAAATCATGTATCAGCCTCTAATGACATCTAACACTGCTTGCCTAAACCTTGAGATAACCAAGACCATATTAACCAATTTCTTTAACAAATGCCACTTACTGCAATATATAAATCCCTTAGAGTCTAAAGTAGTAATTTTCAAAGTTAACAATTAAATGGTATTAATATCTCTTGTAGTAGCCAAATAAAGATGTATAAAAACGCAAAATACGCTGTTTAGATAAACTGTCAAAGAAAAAACGGAGTGAATTAAAAAGCCAGTCACCTCACTATACACTCAAGTAAGAGTACTTTCATCTACCTTTTTAATAAAGTTAAAAAAAATAATAATGCAGGTTTAAAAAGTCATCTAAATAATGGCAATGTCAGTCTTCTCTAGGGGCCATGAATCTGGACAAGCTTTGTTCTCAAGGAGAAAGCTTCTCATCTCAGTAAGCAAATGTCACGAGCATCATTCCAAAAGGTGTTTTGAGCTTAACCTCAAAACATTTCCTGAAACTTACAACCGAAGACGCTTTCTTCATCACATATTTGCCTATTTTAATAGCTGGACACTAACTCATTGGGTCGCTTTAATTCATACGCAACATTGAGAGTTACAGTAACTCTGAGATAATCTCAGAGTTACTTGCTAAACATGTGAGATGCCTGATGCCTGTGTCAGCTTCCAGCACCACACCAGGAAAGGAACTCGGATGTGATTTTTAGTAATTCAGAACAGGAAGAAACTTTGTAGGTTGATCTGCACCTTATGCCACATCAGTTGTAATCCTTATTAGGATTGCATCAAGATTTCTTCTTTGCTAATAGCATGTTCTCCTTTAAAATTACATTCCCCATTTAGATTTTTTTTTAAGTTCCTTATTCTTTCTAAGGAGGAAAAAAAGAGACTGATGTATATCATTAATGGATACCTGTAACAGTTCAGTATGAGAACTATGAATCAAAGATTGTTAGAAAGTTCCTTATTTTTTCTAAGGAGGAAAAAAAAAAGAGACTGATGTATATTATTAATGGATACCTGTAACAGTTCAGTGTGAGAACTATGAATCAAAGATTGTTAGACCTGTTATAACAGAAGATTCAGTAAAGGCATCTGGTCCTTCACCACTGCAATGTCAAGATCACTTTAGGATAATACAGAGAAATCATTACATGAACTGGTAACAGGTCTGCTTGTAACGAAGCCCCCTGGAAAACTGGTCCTCAACTGCCTGCCCTCTTTCAAAGCTTCCTCATATCCAACAGATCTTTCCCACGTTATTCCTCCTGACCTCCTGCCAATATTTTGTCCTTCTAAAGTCTGGTTGTGAATGTGCCAAGCCAGTTCCCAACTGTGCTCTAGCTGGTGGCCTTCCACTCAGAGGCACCAGGCTCTGCTGGGAGAAGGGGACGGGGCAGCCTCCCATTCCCCAGGAGTGGAAAAGGAAAGATAGGAGAAAGCTGCTACACAATCCCCACAGAGCATGACTCGGGGGACACAACAGAACAAGCGCCAAACCATGTTGCACATTTAAATTTGTATTTTAACCACGTGGAATGGGTAGCCATGGCCACTGTTGACCTCTCTCTATCTCTAACCCCTTAAAAACAAAGGGTGCGCTCTAGGCAAGGAAAGGACAGCCTTGCAAGAAAGACATGGGTTATTAGATAAGTGTATATATGTGAACACAACGCAATGACATTGCATATATTTTAAAAAAAAAAACATGCAATCCTTTTATTTTTATAGGAATAAGCATCTAGGGGCTAGCCAACACCGCAGTGGTTTAAGCTTGTTATCGTGAAGACGATAAGATAGAGAGGAGTAATTAAAATATTTTGGTTAGCACATCTTGAAGCAAGCCATCACAGGCCTAACGTGACAGACAGCAAAGCCTGGAGTATTATAAACCACAAGTAATCGCATCAGTTGCTCCATGAAATATTGCTTATTAAGTGGTGATCAAAGCTGGGAACAAGGAAAACTAGTTTACAGCAT